TTTTTTTTTTTCGGGGGGGGGGGGGATTGACTGTAGACTCATCAGAATAGCCGAGCAGAGACACACATCCCACACAGTCCAGAGCAGCCGAGTGGGAAACAGCGCTGGCTCAGAGACCCAGTCCGACCCTGTGTGTTTTGGGTAATCACAGGGTTTGGTATTCCCAGCGCCGGGAGGGGCCATGCGGTCGAAACCGGCGTGCTGGAGCCTGTCCCTCGCTGGGGCCTGATACTCCTCCTCCTCTTCGTCCTCCTCATCCTTCTCCTCTCATTCACTCTGCTCCCTCAGTTCCTCCGCCAGTTACAGTGTGTGTTTCAACATGTCTAAGCCAAACCGCTCCCTCTGAGGAATTCTTTTCCTCCTTTCACCCTCTTGCTCTTTCATTTCCTCTTTTTTTTTTAAAACTCTTCTCATTTTCTTTATCATTTTTATTTGACACCCCAAACACTCCTCCTTCCTCACGTACGTCTTTGTGCTGCTCTCTTGCCACATAATAGGCCTCAATGCTCGCCTCTTTGAGAAAATAGCAGGTGTTACTTTACGTTGTTTAGACTGCCAGACTAAAAGATCAGTCTGCAAAATATACACTTCATACACACTTCAGACTTTAGGCTCTGAGATGCTTTGGAGTAGAAGAGAACATTGAAGTTTTCCTCCAACGCGTATCTGCAAACCGAACGTTTCGGAAAGAAATCCGAATGTATTTTTGGCCTCTTTTTCCCTTGGATGGAACGTAAAAGTAGAGGGAGAAAATGTGCGGTAATGTCCGGATTTCCATTACACGAAAGCATGCGGTGAGAGAGGAAGAGGAGGTGGAAGGGAGGTGAGGTGACTGAAGGGAAAATGGACAGAAAGAAAGAGGAGTTAACGAGAGGGAATGCGCTCTCCATGATGGCGAGTGAGATCTCAAGAGTGGTTTTATTTATAGGAGCGTCTGGTTATCCCGCCCCGCAACGCTGCCACACTTCCTGCCTCCAGCCTGCCGCTTCCTGTTGTTGTGTGGCCTGCCAGGTCAAAGTGTGAGTGTGTGTGTGTCTGTGTTTGTTATATATCAGTGTGTGTTTGTGTGTAGAAAGGGGGCACAGGAAGTGAAACATGGGGTGTGCATTTTGTGGTGGGGTTGGGAGGGGGGAGGGGTCGCTGCTTGTAGTCTAGACATGTTCACCTCTGGCCCACTAACATTAAAACACACAAACATCTTCACACTTGAAACAGTCGGCTGAATGTAAGCAAATACAGAAAGAAGCTTAGATTTAGCTCACCTGGTAAATTATAGTATGAGTTCAAAAGACTTTTAGTAAATGTCAGACTGGAGTGTTCAGTTTCACTTTGGCTGAATTAAATTGGCAAGAAAAATGGCATTTAAACTGACACCAAACTGCAGCTAGAACCCTGTGAGCATAGTTGTCATACCAGGAGGTGCTGTTTGTCAAATTTATCTTCTGATCATGGCAACATTGTCCTCCGTCATCGTAGCATTCAAGGACGATTGAAATCCGTTGGAGCGGAGATGATTTTATCACCTTGAGTTCTGTGACTTACGTTTGCAGCCGTTGGTTTGTTGTTTTTGAGCCCTAAACTCACCATATTGAAAGTGTAATGAGTAGATGAGGGCTGTTTAAAGGTTCAGTTTGAGCCACAAGATGATCCTAGTGAAATAAATATGTTATGTTGTTTTATTTTTATTTTCTGTGAGGTAAAAATGCTATTTAAATATGTAGGATCCCCTATTTCAAAGGCCATCTTCTTTAAACAAATATCTTAATGCTACGTCCCATTGCTCGTATTGAAGCCATAGTCGGCCTTTTCTTCAATTCAATCGCTAATTATTTATTATTTTTCATAATCTGAGCATGGTGGGCAGAGTGATACTTTGCGCTGGAAGCCACTCAATTAAGGGAACGTGGGATCCAAGTACCATTTTGCATCTAATCAATACAATAAGTGTCTGCTATTGACCCACGGCCCACCAATAAGTTTGGCCCTCCAAACGATCAAAGTTTTGGCACCATAAAGCTGTCATTAAGATTACTTACCATTTATCTAAAACTGTACCATTATACACACATTATAAAGTACTGATCTGCATAGTCTACAGTTCTGGCAGTGAGTTTGTACAAATGATGCTTGACAGAGTCAGTCAGTGCTTATTTTTATTGTTAATAAATAATGACATTTATTTTTGATTAATAACTTAATCCTTTGATCTATGAGATGTCAGAAAGTAGTGAAAAAAGGCGACATATTAAAGGGAAAACTAAGAAAACCAGCACATATTTGCATTTGCATTGTGGGACAGCAGCGTCTAATATGCATGCTGATATCTACAAGTATATATATCACTATTCCACTGTGAATGCATTCAAAGAATTCTCCAAACCCAGATGCAATTGTTAGCGAGTTGTGTGGAATTTAGCCACAGCTTTTTATAAACACATCCTGTGTGCTGAAGCGACTCGGTCGGGACGACATATGGATGATTGCAGTGTCGAGCTGTCTCTCAAATTTATGATCTGTTCCTTTAAGTCAGAAAGAGTTCAGTGAGTTCGGTTTCACTGAGTTTGATAGAGAACATGCAACACAAGATAACTAAACCACAGCTCGACTTCTGAGCTGACACGAGGATTTCCCTCCTCCTCCTCCTCCTCCCGCCTGTTTGGTCAGGTGATAATGTTTGACTGACAGATGTGGGTCGCCGGGGCAGCATGAGGGTGATAGTTCTCACGTGTGTCTGTCAGCTGAGCTAGCTGGGCTTATTTACTCGGCCTCAGGAATGAGATATTTAGAGAGCGGGTGGAAATCTGCCTTTATTGTCCACTCGGACTCCAGATCCCCTCCGGACCTTCTCTAGTTGTGATAAGACCAAGGTCAGTGTTACTAACTGTGTGAAGTCCCGCTTTCCCGTGTCTAGACCCTTCCTGGTGGTGGACCCCCCCCCCCAGGTGTGTTTATGGACTATTGTTCTGAGGCTGGGTGCCGGACTGACCTGACTCTGAGCTGCATTCAGGACTTCATGAGGAAGCTGTTAATGTAATACCCAGCAGTCCAGGGTTGATGTCACCGCTCTGTCCGCCTGCTGCAGTCTGGGTGTAGAGTTGTGCATCTCCAGGGAATTATAAAATGGGTTGCATGTGGAAAACTGGAGTATTTCTCCAGCATTGGTGCTAATTATGGGAAAATACAGTAGATTCCCATCAGGATTTGAGATAAAACTCATGTTAGAGGATTCATTTCTGCATAGTTTGTATCTAAGAGCGCACATGTGCTCACTCTGGACACCTGATCTCATCAAAACATATTTATAAATCATTTAGAATCTCACTAAATCTCTCTTTCTGTGTCCACAGGCTAAGGGGCGGAGGGATGGTCTCTCCTCAGCCGGTGACAACCCTCGGCCGCCGATGGCGACCCGGCCGGGAAGGGAGGGGGTCGGCGTGGGCTGGAAGGGTCCCCGGACGCTGGTTCTCCATAAGAACTCCCAGGGTTTCGGTTTCACACTGCGGCACTTCATTGTTTACCCTCCAGAGTCGGCCCTGCACACCAACCTCAAGGTGAGACCTACAGGTGTCCTGAGAATGTTTTTCAAGATGTGGAAAGGTGTTGAATTATGTTAAATATATACAGTTTTCTGTTTTCCTTTCAGTGTTTAGTGTCATTAGGTCCTTTTTTCCAACTGCCATGTTTATTTTTACACCACACATGGTCTCCATTTCATCCTAGCTGGCATTTAAAAGGTTTTTCGAAGAGCCTTTACGTTTAACTTGCTGAACCCCGGGACAGAGCCAATTTGAGCTCGGAGATAAAGCCAATCACACTGCAGCCGAGGGTCAGCGAGGTTGAGCCGAGCTGATTGAAGACAACCGACTAAACAAACAAAAGCCTGTTAAAGGGTTATTAAAGGAGGGGGCAGCAAGATATGGAGGCAAAGAAACTACAAAATAAAGGTCTCAGAGTACCTGCCAGACATACTGGAATATAAACTCCGAATTGTTTTTCAGTATCACTGCATGTTGTTTTCAGTCCTTGGTGAGTTCAGATTGTTCTGGTGTTTTGCAATGAGCCTCTATTTGAGAGAGTGGTTATTTAGCTCTTTGAGGTGTGGGGGCAAACGGCTCCAGATGTGAAATTGAAGGATATGGAGGCTGGGGTGGGGTGAGCCCGCTGAAACAAGGCCTCTATTATTATTCTACCACCCCACCATCCAGCAGCTGCAGATAGGAGCACAGATTGAATGAGATCTGTTGTCTTAGCCTGGTACCACTCTCTGGCAGTCAGGCCGTACCAGGCCGGCCCGGAACAATAGGCCCACTGCTGGCCTTTGGCCTCGGCGCTGTCCTCGTCTCCTCTGCCTCGAGGGTCACATGGCGTTTTGGGACAATCGGACCCACAAAGCCGCCTGTTCTTAACTGAAGAGCATCCGTGGAAGTCTCCCAAATTACCCTCATAGTGTCCAATTATCAGAGGCCAACTGGGCGCATGACCCAACTGGGCCCTCATTTCATGGTTTCTGAACGTCTTCAAGAGTTTTCAGTGCTATTGTCTAAAAGAAACATCCAGACTTTTCTCCTGTGCGGTCCTCTCCATCTTTGAAAATAGCTTGAAGATGTTCCTCTTCCGGCATTTCCCACTAAATCTAACATTAAAAGAAGTCAGATTTTGTATTTACCTTTTGCGTTGCTGCGTTTAGCCTAGCAGCATTTATTCTCAATGGTTTCTCCTTGAAGTATTACGGCTTTGATTTGAGCTAATTTGTACTTCGCTTTGGATAAAAACCTCTATGTACATGTATATAAAAAGACAGCAGAGAGTTAAAAAAAATAATACATGTTATGTTTACAAAATCCCTACCTGCCTACTGAACTGGGAATGCACAGGGTTCCCACGCGTCCTGGAAAACGTGGAAAATCTGGAAACTTAGAGACTAGTTTTCTAGACATAGAAACACCTGGAATTTGATTACAATGACCAAAAAACCTGGAAATAATTTAAGTTTTCCTGTTTTATTGTGTTTTAGTTCCTCACTCATGTTGCTGAATTAAAACAAGATAAATTCTACCTCATTTGAGCTGTTACTTCTGGGCTGTGGCCATAATGTTATGGTGAGATGAAAACTGTAGTCAGATCGCCAGAGAAGAGAGTGCCCCATGTAAAAAGCTGACTACCTACCTGTAATAAACACTTCATCAACATGAACTCAATACTTGGATCACCGGTAGATTATGTGACTATTTGGGAGTAAGTGCTGCGCTTCATTGTCAATAACAACTCCTGTAAAATGTCCTGGAAAGGTCCTGAGGTAAATTATTTCTTTTTAAAGAGTGGGAACCCTGATTTGAATGTTTATATTGCAATATAACTACACAAATGGGAGATATCTCATGAGCATTATTACAATAGTCTCTACCAGCTGATTCAGACCGTGCACACAGTGTACAGTATTTGACCCAGGTAGTCTTGAGTCTCTCACTGTCTCTTCCTCAGTCCCAGATGTGTTCAGACTGGGGCCGGTCAGTTGCTGAACGTCCCCAGCTCGGAGCTCTATTCTGGGGTCGGCAGCTCTCCTTTCTCTGCCTCTAAACCCCCCACCATTGTCTGCAGAGCCAGGAATGAGCCCACTCAGCGTAGCATAAAGCCAGGCAGCAGTCAGCCCACCGTGCCCCTAACCCCAAACTGTCCACTCAGCTTAGTATGTGTGTGTGTGTGTGTGTATGTGTGTATGGGTGTGTGTGATCAGACAACCTGCAGCTATCTAATCTCACCGCTGTCTGTTGGCCTCATGTGACGTCACGAGTACCTGCAGACTGCCTCACCTGAGAGTCAGTGTCTGTGTTGGAGCTGCACACCAGCATGAAACGCTCATGAAAACAAACCGGTCGTTCTCTCCGGGTTTTGGCTCCAGATCCCGGCGAAACAGGACGCTCAGAACGTCTCCTGTAGTCTGACATTTGTGAAGACGTAGATATCAAGTTCTCTCCGACTTGTAGTCGCCCCTTACGCATTAGACTTGTCAAGGGTTCGAGACCTGGGTTCAAAGAGTTAAGACTTTAACCCGTTTTGTGTTGAAGGTTCAGCACAAGCATATCCTCAGGTCAGAATGAGCATTTGGTAACATTCCCGCCTGTGGAAGCAGTGACAGACTAGGTAAATGGGAGTAAGAGACCCTCTCCGTGTGTCTCCGAACACACAGCAAGAAATCTGGGTGTCATATTTGACAAATAAATAAAATCCTGTCATTAGTAGCATCATTTTTTCTACATCTTGTCAAAATAAAACATTTTAGAGAGTCTTACATGCTTTTATTTCTTGACTGCTGTAAATTTCTTTATGTCTGTGTGGAACAGTTGAGCCGCTTTGCAATTATTTACCTGTTATTAGTTAAATTTCTCTTTTGTTTTCTATAATAAATAGGACTTGAAGCGACTTTACTTGAATTTGAGCATTAATTCTGTCTGTTTCTGTCCTTTTGCAGGATGAGGAGAACGGCAACGGAAAGGGTGAGTGTTACAGTGGGATAACTGATGATGTAATGAACTGGGACCTCCTGTACTCCCTCCTGTCACCTCTGCTCTGCAGCCTTTCTGCGCCCCCTACAGGACACTATGCAGCACTGCATCTGAATTAGTCAATAGCCAGTAAATGTTAAGTATTAATATATTCCCCTTGGCCATGAAGGTCATAAACACAAGTACTCAAAGGTTATCACCTTTAAACACCAGGAGCAACCTAAAGCTATATTTCTAGTTTCCCAGGATTTGTTAAAACAATTTAGCATTTTTACAACTCCGCAGGTACAATCCCTCACCTTTCTTCTTCTTTGTCTTTTGTCATCCAGGGTATCAGAAAGGTCGAATGGAGCCGATGGACACCATATTTGTGAAGAGTGTGAGAGAAAAGGGTCCGGCCCACCAGGCGGGCCTGTGCACAGGTAAAAGGAAACATGAGGCGCAGGAGCATTAACATCCTGATTTGCATTGTAAATCTTTTGGGAAGAACTCCGGTCATGTGACGCTGCAAACATGAGCAGGTGCACAGAGATGGGAAAGATTCAGAGAGGTGAAGCAGCCAAGAATATAAACTTTAGCCCAGAGAAACAAGTTGTTTTTTTGGGGTGATATAATACAGATACCAGTATGACAACTCAAATTCTCAAGTGCATTTGGATGTGACAGAGCTATTGAAGTGTTCCTGTTGCGTCTTGCTGCCTTAGCAGGGCAGCAGTCAACTCCCAGCTGCTCAGACAGACCAAACCTGTACTCCGGTTGTTTTAACACAAGCTGTCACATCCAGAAAGTCACATGCCGGCATGAACATATGCAAAAACACACAAGCACTGAGCATTTTTACGTGTTGCGGCTTGCATGAAGTCTGCATGAATGAATTCATGCAAACATTGAACACTTTCCTTTCCTGCAGCTGTGCTGACGTCCCTGCACAACTTTACTGTTAATCTGGGAGCAAATTACTCACGATTTAAAAGATATTTGAATTCAATCTATGTGAGATCACCAAAAAGCTACTGATATGTGTTTGAGACAACGAGCTTGCTTTTTATTATAATGATACAAAGAATAAATTAAAAGTGGCTCAGGCTGAGGTACTTTGTATGGCACACATCTCATGCCTGACACACATATTAACCTTACTGTTTTGCCGCATGGTTTTGGTTTTGTTGAAATTAGACACACACATTGGCCATTAGAAAATACATAAAGAGAAAAATGAAAACGGATTTAATCGCAAGTTTAAATACAACTTTTTTCCACCCCTGAATTTCAAATTGTGGCGCTCTGTGTCTCAGCTTACCATCACGGAAGGTCAACATACAGGCCTGTGTTTAATATGATAACATGAGATAACATGTCTTGCAGGGGATCGGCTGGTTAAAGTGAACGGAGAGAGTGTCCTCGGAAAGACGTACTCGCAGGTCATAGCCCTCATTCAGAACAGGTAAGACCTCCCGCCTGTCGGCGCTTTGAGCCTTTGTCGTGTTGATTTAGTGAACAATCTGTTTGCTTTTTCTTTGCAAACTTACCGTAGAGATGACATACATGTAGACACTAGTATTATTTTTTCCTGCTTTTAAAAAAAGAGTAGCCTGAAGCTGCGTACTCCACACACCAGATAATGTGGTTCTCCGGTGGGAGAATGAGGGGCTTCAATAACACATACACCAGTAGGGTTTTATCTGGTGGCTGGTGTTGAATCTTAACAGAAACTAGTCGGATGACCTTTTCCAGGCTGTCTTTCTATCCAAATGTACAATGCAGAATCCACAGGGAGGTCAGAGGCCAGCTACACAGCTGGCTGCTGTTATGAATGTACGATCCGACTTGTTCAACTCCCAATTCGATACCAGTGCTCTCTCTTTTTTTTTATTTTTATCTGTACACCCCACAGTATGAAACTCATTAGAATAATTTGTTACATAAGGCATAAGGGATTTCTGTGGAAACTGAGAGCAGTAAATGTGAATGAAAGCAGAAACATTAAATTTTATAATGACTATGACAATGAAAGTGTATTTGATGTGGATTGGGTGCATCTGGCCGATACCCGATCCACGAGTCAGTGAAGCCTGATACAGATTGGTGTTTTAGTGCAGTTAAACCTTTCTATAAATTAGGAATAATTACTGAGTTTAACACAGAATTGTTTCACACACTTTGTGTCAAGCACTAGGTCAGGATACCGAATGTGAACTCATTATGTTTTTGTCGAATGGAGCGTTTTTTCTCCTCTCCCCAATCTGTTTTTCACATCTCTTTTTTCTTCCTGTCCTCCCCTCTTCCTCCCCCTGTACATGTACTTGCAGTGAGAGTGTGTTGGAGCTCTCCATTATGCCAAAAGATGAAGATGTGCTTCAGTTGGTAAGTGTGAGTATGGTATTTTTCACGCACCTTATCCCACCAAATCAACAAACTAACCCACACACACATCACGCAACACACATTTAATACATTATTCCAGGACACTGCAGGAATATTCTGCAGTCCTTGTGTGCAGAGTTCAACCTAGATTCACCCCGTCATTGTCGAAGAATGTAGAGATTTTCTTAGAATGGCTTCAGAGTGACTCAGAGGCTCGCCACTCTGTGTTTAGATTACAACACGCATTCATTAAAAGCCACTGGTATCCCGACCGTGGAAAGCTTACGTTTGAATAAGAAACCAGCTCCGTGCTCGTTCACACACCCATGTACTGTACAGCGCATTTTTGTCACTCCACAGGTTGCTCCATGCTCGCTCACATGATCAGACATGCATCATCCCTCGCCCCTCCCATTAACCTGGAGCAACATGTCAACACACAAAACCCGGATCCCCAGATTTAAGCGATCCTTTTCGCACATGCAGGAACACCAGTGCTCCTGCCAAAAGGGCCCCACCAAAAAACTGGGTTCTCCATTTAAGCATACTGCCATGTTTTAACATTATAAACCCACTGCTCTGTACTCACACTCCTCCCCTTGCTGCTACGCCTGTATCTGCTGCATTCCTAGCATGACATCACCAGTGCTGCGCCTCCTTCCACACTCCCACAGGGTGGAGTGAGGCAGAGAATGAGAGGGAGGAGAGAGGGAGTTTGGAAGGATCCGAGAGAGGAGACAACAAGGAGATCAACAGATAGAAAAATAGTCGACAAAAGTAATAGAGGAAAGGAAAAACAAACAAAAGATTGAATGTTTCCGGGCGAGAGGAGGGTGTGAACTCTGAAGGACGGCAGGTTTTAGCAGCAGGAGTGTTGTGTCAGGAGTGTTGGTGAGGATAAGTCTCTGTTCTTCCTCCTCTGTTTCTGTTTGTGGTGACTACAAGCTTAACATGCAGGCTCAGGAAAGGTTCTGGATTCTGTTGGACGGTCTAGGTAAACCTTGAAAAACCTGTCTGTCTGTGTGATTTAGCTTTAGTCAGAGTGGAAAAATTGTTGTTAGCAAGTGTGTTTTTGTTCTTCTGGTTTATGAAGTGGAGTCGAAGTCGTCAGTGATGCTTTAAATGTGACTAATTGATAAAGTAATCAGTTCATTATAGGCTTCCTTTCTTTATTTTCAATGGCTACCCTTTAAAGCAGCGCAGTGTGTATTTATATTGTGTGTGTGTGTGTATACACAGCACTGGTATGTATTTGCAGCTGGCTGCAGTGCAGTGAGTATTGTGGCTTTTGCTTCAGGCAGTTCATGCAGTTTGCTAGCTAGCATGTGTTTGTGAGAGCTGAGGCCCCGGGGACAAACTGTGGCAGAGGGGTTGAGCTGAGAGACCATCCCACTTTAAGGCTTGTTGTGTAATGTACAGCCGCATGAAGTTGTCTTATAGAGTTATGGTCTGTGTTGTTATCTGACTTACGTTACAGTAAGAGCACATTTTGATTTACAGTCGTCACCGCCTCACACACCTTTTCTCCAAGCTTTCCTCCAGTGTGTCTTATCTCACTTCTCCTTTTTCCCTCCCTCTCCCAGGCATACTCCCAGGATGCCTACCTGACAGGCAACGAACCCTACTCAGGGGGAGCTGAGAACCTCCCACCGCCGCCTCCCCTCTGTTACCCACGCTCCAAGAACACGCCCCCTGCTGGAGCCCCTCCACCAGCCCCCATGGGCCAGAACCAGCTGGATAACTGGAGTCGCTGGCCAGGTTCCTCCAGCCCCTCTTCACCCCTGGACAACCGCTCCGCTGTGGGCAGCCCAGCCAGCTGGCAGGAAGGGCGGGCAGGAGAGCCAGGCGGTGTGGGTCACAGCAGCCCGGCCCACCGCACAGAGGAGATCCAGTACGGTATGACCAGCCAGCAACCTCAGGGACAGACCAGGGGGCGCTCCTACTCTTCGTCTTCCTCATCGGGAGGCCCCTTGTCCAGCCCGCTGCAAGTCCACTACCCAAACCACCACGCTTCCAGTTCCTCCCAGGCTAAGCCGCGCAAGTCTAGCTCAGCCTGGACCAGTCCCCCCCTGCCCCAGCTCAGCCACGGCCGCAATGAGCGCTGCCAGCAGGCCCTTTCTGACTGGTACTTCAACCAGAACCCTGAGCGCTCAGGACGCAGCATGCAGACCCGCCACCGCAGCTACTCTCAGGACCGGCTCAGTGAAAACAGGAGGCAGCAGCAGCGGACAGGTGGCTGGCCGCACAGCGCCTCCCAGGACACTCTGCTGTTACTACAGCAGTCAGGACCAGGACCCCATGGAGAGCCTTACTGGTCCTATGGAGACTGGGAGGGGGGCCCAGGTAGGGGGCAACCAGTCTCTAACTATACCCGAACACGCTCTGAAAACCTGCTGGCCCAGTACGATCGCCACGGCCGCTCATTAGAGATGCTGGACCGAGCGGCAGCTGGACTGGTCTCGCCTCGTTTTGAGAGGCCTTCGTGGATCCAGCAGGCTCCGCAGCCACCCCCCAGGACTGACGCCTACCCGAGGCAGGGGAGTCATTACGGTGCAACACAAGCTCCTCCGATGTCTCGACCGTCACATTCTAAACACCACCCCCAGACTCACACCCAGGCCCAGTCCCAGTCTCCGCCCCAGCAGGCCGCCCCCCAGAGCAGGCGGCTTCCCACCGGGCAGAGCATGGACGACCAGCCGGTGGGCTACCGCAGCTACAGCCCCTCTTTTTACCGCAAGACTGGCCGCATCATGCAGCAAGCCCACTCTTTCAGGGACCCTTCGTACTCTGGCCCCCACTTGAACTGGAACCCAACACCCAAAAGCCCCCCAGAGGGCACAACAGCACCCGTCGCTGCCTCTACCGCGCCCCCACTTGCCTCCGCCTCTCCCGAATCCCAGGACAGAGCGTACAGGCCGACAAACCACGAGAGGGAACGAGGGTCAGTGGAGGGGCAGGCGGAGGTGGCACAGACCCAGGAAGTGGTGCTGAGGCAGAAACCTCCCACCGGGCGGAGGAACGCCTACGGTATGCGTCACCCCCACTACGCGCTGCCCATGGACGGGCTAGAACCCTCTTTGTTTTCTCCTGATCCCCAAGACTCAGCTCCTGCCCCTGGTTCCACAGGAGAAGTAGCCCCACGCAGACCTAACGGCAACCTCGCCCCCCTTCCCATAGAGGATGACTCCCTGGCCTCCATCCCCTTCATAGGTAAGCAAACCCTTAACCCCCCCCCCCACACAAAAAAACCTCCAGCTGACCTCGAGATTTTCATCACTTCTCTTCTGAAATGTCACCACATTGAGTGTTTGTTGAACGTTAGTGAAAGCTTAACTGGGAGGAAATGCAAAGCTATAATTCAGACAAAATTATGAGTTTGGGGGGAATGTGTGTGTTCTCTTAATTTCCTTCTTGTCTGTCTGTTTAGGCTCCAGGCTCTGTTTAGATGCAGTTTCCATTGTGTGTGCGTGTTTGTCTGTGAATGTTTTGCGTTGGGTAATACTGGCGCTTCCCACTGTCTTACAGGCAGCATTAGTAGTTTCATTGAATCATATCTGGTGGTAGTTCACTAATCCTGCTTCTGGATTTCACCGTGAAATGAGGCGGAGTCTTCCTGAATGTGTGTGTGAGCAATGGAAGATATTTACTATAATTCCTGTAGTATTGCTGCCCGTCATTCATTTCTGTTAGTGAGTCAGTGACTGTATTGCTTTTAAGCCATGCTGGGGCCGTAGTGTTGATTGGTCTGCTGCTTTTGGTTTCAATAAGTATTGGACCATTACATTTTATTGTGTCCAGACTTTCATGGCCCCCAGAGGAGGAATTCAAATGACTTGAATCAGTTCCTAACTTTTCCTCTTGCCCATTCATCAGGTCAAAATGTTTTAATTTGTCCAATACTTTGATTTATCAAGGAATTGAGGAATTATATTACTCATTATATAACACAAGGTTGTATAACGAAATGAAAGTTTCCAGTTCCTTCAAACTACACACACAGAAAAAGATAATTAAATCACTGAATAACATAGAAAATAAAATCAAATAAACTAATATATACTGTTATGCATCTTGATGCATCTTTTGAATTTGAGTCAGTGTAAACAGCAGCCGATAGTAACAATAATACGGTTTCATCTCCACATAAAAGGAAACCCGCGTCCATCCACACTGACAGCACTGCATATGACCAAATACCAGCACAACTGATAACATCCCCTTCAACCTCGGCTGCATACTTTGTATTTGATGCAAATCAGCTGACGTTAGCACGCTAAACTGAGGATGGTGAACACTGTAAATATTATACCTGCTAAACATCAGCTCCATGGGGGGTCGCTAGGGCTTCTTGATTTTAAGGCATGCAAGAAAACCTTAAAAGATATAAACAGTAGGCCTAAATCACAGCATCTGGTTCACTTCAGTGAAGAAAAGTAACTGTAAAATAAATGATTCGAACAAAAACCAAGCATCAGGGAGAAGAAAACACAGAATTTGTCTGAGAAAGAAGCTTCTGAAGTCTGTGTGATTGTTTAAAATGGTTAATAATACATAATACAGACAGATAATTGTATAAAAAAGTTCCCTAAACAAGAAATAATCTGCTCAAAATTCATCCAAATCACTTGTTTTACACAAACTTCCTACAGTTACAGAGTCCACTGTTTGAGTTCATTGTACAGTTTTGAATATAATAAGAAATATACAGAAAATATGTCACTGAGTCAGTTTACTAAATGATAGAAAATGAAAAGGGTTGGGAACCACTGCTCTAAAAGACACAGAAAGAAATTAAACATGTCAAAGTTTGCCCAAGATTAATATGAAAGTTAGATTGAATTAATCCAATGAAATCAAATTATATGTTTACTCGCAGTGCTGTAAATTTGCCCCAGTGATAATCTGTAACAGCTTCTGTGCATAATGCAGTTCTGTATCTATGTGAGGTTATGTCGACCGTGATGTACAGTACATAGTACAGCTATGGCCTACATATGTTGGTGTCAGTGGGAGGTGACTGTGGTCGTGTCCCGGCTTGTTTCCTGCTCTGAAAAGACCGAAAGAGAAGGGGCTCCGCAGGCTTCATGTTGGCTTGTATCACTCGACACGTACAGCAGCCATTAAGTCAAACCATACGCAAACAAAGTTAATCGGTCATGCGAGCTTTGCCTCCATCACCCTGTCACAGCCTGAAGGAGAAAAAAAAAAACCCTAATGCTGAATAGATTCAAATCAGCTGACTTGGAAGCTTTGACCCAACATGGAATGGCCATCGGTGTTCGAGCCAAGCCATGCTCGGCCGGAGAAAGTCATTTAAAGAGAGAAAATCCAGAGGTTCAGCAAACCATGAGGCATCTCTCTGCCTCTCTGTCAGTCTGTCAGAGCACATTCTTGCCTCGTACCTTCAGAAACCAGGCAGTCAGAGCTGCAGGCCGGGACACGTCTGATGGCCATAAACTGAAACTAGGCTAGTTTCTCCCCATAGACAAAAAAAAAAAAAACTAGCTTTTCTCTGCTCTTCCATCTCTTTATCTCTCTGACAGAGATGCTGATATGATCTGGGCCCTGTTTGGGGAACATGCAATTGGCTGTTATCGTTCTCGTCTACGAACGTCTGTGAGGTAGCGAGCACAAAGGCAGGCTGTGTCTGACGGCGAATATGTTGTTTTTTTTATGACGTCTCATACAAAAGATTTCCAAAACTTCGATCAAGCGTGTTCCTATTTTTGCAGCTCGTACAGTGTGAATCAAACAGGAAGTGGCACGTCAACATGATGCCGTATTTTACTCTGTGCCCACTCGGGAGTCTTTCAACATGAATCTAAGCTGTAAATTACCAGGAGGTTTTTGTGGCGGTCCTTGTGGGGAACAGTAGGGGCCCATACACTCAGCTCCCGCCCGACCCTCAATGCTGCTATTGTGCTGCTCTGGAAGATGAAGGGGTTTTGTGTGTCCGTGTGGGTGTGTGGGGGGTTCAGTCTATGACTATCTTTACTAGCCGGATCCCATACACAACAGACCAGGACCAAGACCTTCTGTGCTGGCTTCTGTCCTGCTTCCAAAAGGCTTCTGGTTCCCACTGTCTTGTCTTACAGGCACTGGCTGCCTTTCTTTTCTCTGTCTTTCTGTCTTTTTATCCCATTCTTTTTCTTTTTTTCCTCTCCTCTTGTAAAATCCTCTCTCCTCTCTCCAAAAATGTTGCCATCTAAAACTTTTTTTATGAACAGCAGACATAGCAGTTACTCCAATAAATCGTTTAAGTCATTTTTCAAGCAGAAGTGGTAATTGTGGTAAATATTAACTGGTCCCTGCTGCTCAATGATCAGCATTTGCAGCATTTTTGCAGACAAATCAAACAAAACATGCAATTTAAAGTTGTCACCTCTGTTTTTTTGAGGGAAATTGTTTGCAGAAAAACACATTTCTTAAATGAAGGTATAGAAAAAAGTATAATTTTGGTTCTATTTAACTTTCAGTAAATGAGTATAGTGAGTAGGGACAGCCCTCTATACGCTTTTTAAATAATCCAATGAGTTTCAAAGGTATTATAAGGCAAAATCTTAAAGATCTGGTGCATTTTCAAGTGTTTTTTTTAAGGTTATTTTAGACTCTTTTAACCGCTGTCTCTCTTTCCTACTTCTACTCTTGCTCTCTGTCCTTTCCTCGCCTCTCCTCTACATGTAATCTCTGAATTCGGAGCTCCACATATGTTGTAGGACACGCTGTAGAGTCGGGGCAGGCTGTGCTGTAGTCTGTTGCTCCCCTCTGCTGGTCCGTCTCTGTCTCGTGGCTCTGAGCTCACTCTCTGGCTGCCCGTTAATGACGGCCTTTGTTAAACCCACAGCCCGGCTATTTCTGGGCAGCGCTGTAAACAGGCAGATTCCTCATCCCAGATTGGAAATGTTTTCCGCCTTATGTCGGGCTCTAGTATGCACAGGAGTGGAGAACAGAACAGAAAGGGTGGTCGATGGAAGACAGCCAGAGGCAAAGAGAAACAGAAAGAGGAAAGAGAGTCAAAGATGGGAGTGATGGTGAAGGATGAGGGGTGTTTGCAGGACATTTCAAGGACAGAGAGGTAAGTAAAAGGGAAATCGGAGCTGAAAGAAGTAACCCTAGCAAAAAAAAAAGACTATGTGGTGGTTTGTGGAGTTCTTCCAGAGCTGTGCTGCCCCCTGTTGTTTCCACAGAGAACACACCAGAGCCTTGTAATTCAGTCCCTACAGTTTAAAATATCACCAATAAATCCAGCTACTCCTCACTTTATGCAAATATCTGCCCGCTCTCTAATCCTCTCTGTCAGTCAGGAAGTGTGAGTGTGTGTATTTGTGTGTGGTGTCGCCTCGGGTCCCTCCGCCGTGTGTGTTATGGTTTCATTTCCCTTTGCATTAGCTGAAACTATCAAAGAATCGTTTGACCTATGAAGCTGCATTTGTCTTCTCGAACACTGAAGCTTTCATTCATTGTGCAAAAACTACCATTAAATATCTACATTCAGATATGATTAATTTGATATACATATAATATATATGTGGTCTTTTTTGTCCTCGTTGGATTGTGACACTTTTCACTTGCATGTCTCCTCACATGTCTCAGATCATACTTACTGTAGATCTCATAAAGAACTGAAACCTGGAGCCAGTAGATCTCTGTTACAGTACAAAACCGCCTCTGTAAGCAGCAGAATAGCTCTTCTTATGGCAACAGGAGGCACAGGTACTGCGTTATCCGTAACTACTATTTGCCTATTTTACTATGTCCCTGTGTAACTTTGCTCTTTGCTCAGGTTGCATTTGTATTGTGTGTTACCTGGAACAGTTGCACAGGTTTTTAGATCAATCAGTTCCTTTTTGTGGATTTGTACATGACCGTGGATGCTTGTGTTTGTGGTCTAGTCTTTTGTGCACTTCTCACAGGAACCAAGAAAATGTCTCCCGTTCGAGTATGATTATTTTACGTTTTTATTTTGCCGTTGGAAGAATGAAATGAGTGTAAATCTTGTTTAGTATCTCTGATGGTAACCCTGCGGTTCCTCGCCGTTCCTCTCCCTTAAAACTCCTCTTCCACACCTTCCACTAATCTAACCCCCTTTTTACTTTCCTTCTTTTTCCCTTTCTGACCTTGTTCTCTAACACCTAACCCTATCCACTCTTCCTTTATCTCCTCTTCCTTTCTCCTCCTGCCTCCTCTCCTTCCCCTTCCTTCCCATCCACCCTCCCACAGATGAGCCGACCAGCCCCGGCGCTGATTTGCGCGCCCGCCACGTGCCGGCGTCCTCCGTGGTGTCCAGCGGCATGAGTTCGGCGCCCGCCGTGGTCACCAGCCCCGCCTCCCCCACCTTCACCTTCCCCCTCACTAGGCTCTTCTCACACGACTGCAGTGAGTGCCCCCTCCTCCCCCTTCTCCTCTGCCTCGCTCCCCACTGCATGCAGCAGAGAAGCATCTTATTTGTGGCGTTTACCTGCGATGGAGACGATCCCTCTTTGTACTTCAGAGAGGGGTTGATGAAGCATGCATTTAAAAGTTGTTGGTCCTCTGTACTTTCCATTTTATCAAGTGTTTTTTGCCAATTATTGAGTCTTAAAAGTCAACTGAAGCGGAAAAATCTGCCAATGGCAATCTAATTTAAATCAAATTGTTTGAATTTTCCAAGTGTCATTTTTCATGATTCTAGTGCAGCAGTTTGCATAATAATTCAGTTTTATTTCATAATACTGACATTCATTTCTACAACATTAGATTTTATGGGACTTTTTGGACTCAATAATCAAATATCCTTGGAAAGATGAGGTTTTTAGCAGTGCTGTATTATTTGTGCATGCTGCGTTTGTAGATCGCATGTTTGACACAAAGAAATTCGTACAAACAGAATGTGTTTGTCTCTTTTTCCAGATGTGCATGAAGCCGTAGATTCAGTGTGTTTTGTTAAAATTGCACAATAGACTTGCATGATGTGTTAAACAAATGCATGTCAGTCTGTGTGTACAGAGGATGTATCTGCATGCCAGTGGTGAGAAAAGCAACCACAGATAATTAAATCTAACCCACCGCTCAAGCTCACCTCCCCACCATCCATCCTCACCACGCCACCCGTTCACTCACCACTCAGAACCCCCACTCGACCTCCTCCTCCACCACCTCCTGCTCCCTCCCTCGCTATCCCCATCTCCTAATCCAACACCGTCCACACTGGTGATTGGCATTACATCAACATTCTGTCTTTCTCTCTGTCTCTTTCTCTCTGTTTCTATTTTCTACTCTCTCTCTCTCTCTGTTTCTGTGCTCATTCATCCTCTCATCGAGCAGGCAGTATTAAATCCAGTCGCCGTTCCTCCTATCTTCTAGCCATCACCACCGAGCGCTCCAAGTCATGTGACGAAGGACTCAACACGTTCAGAGAGGAAGGGCGAGTATTCTCGTGAGTACCGTCAAACTGAGACAGCTGGCTGTTAGCTACATCAAAATGGCATCTATTGAATGACATGTGCAGGCAGACATTTTGACAGTTAACTCTCAGTTGTGTTGTTTTACTTCACAAGGAGGCTACCAAAGAGAGTGAAGAGTTTCTTCACAGACGGGGTGAGTTCTTCACACACAAAGTGTCAGCCTCATTTTTATAACTCTTGTCTTTCTTTTCTCACTACTTTGGCCGAGGTCAGCTACTGTCAGGTCGACTGCTGTAGTATTCAGATGTTATTTTGTCAGAAAGTAAACCCAAGAAAACAAATTATGAACTAAAATGAACATCCTGCAGCTTAACAGATACATTGAACTACTTTTAAATGGCAGTTAGCTGGTATTTGCTTCACAAATTAAGGAATAAAAACTTAATTTTAAGACTTAAAAAGAATATCTGACAATTAACACCATTACATAAACAGTGTCTTTCTTTATTTATAGTTGTAAAATTGTGTAAAAGAAGTGATCAGCGTAGATGGTGGCAGATCATTTCATTCATTTTCATTTTCACTTCACCTTGGAATTTAAGTCTCAATTCATGTTTTACCTTTCTTTTTTTAACCTGTGACATGCTAAGATGTAGTGTAAGTACTAGAGAGACAGAAAGTCTCATTAAAATCAGATTACTGGTACATTATCCACCATGAGTAAGTCTGTAGCAGCAAAAAACTGTGATGTTTTATTGCTTATTAATTCAACTTTTTATTTCTTAGATAAAACCTTTTTATATATATAGTTACATAGTCTCAGTTTAAAGGTTCAGTGTGTAGGATTTAGTGAAATCTAGCAGTGAAGTTGCAGATTAAAACCAACTGAAGCCGCTCACCTTAACCAAGCATGTAGGAAAAATAACAGTAGCCACAAAACCCTTGTAAATCAAACACGGCTCGCTTCCTCTGTAGATAAACACAGCTCATTTTAGGGTAACGAAAACAGAAAAATTCTTATTGTGAGCTGATTATACAGTAATTAAACTCTATATTCCATTTCTGCCTATAGATCCTCCTAAATGTTACACACTGGACCTTTAAATATCTGTCTTTTCCATCCACTTGTGTTCATCTATTGGCCTGTCTGTGCCTTTGGTGATTTTAATTTCTGCAGGCAAGGTGCTTCAACCTTCAAACCTGTGTACTAGCTACTGTCACATTCTGTGTCAGTGAGTTTTAAAGGCAGCATTTGGCAACTTACGTTACAGAGGTACAAAGAGGCCCAACTGATGATGCCTCAACTACTGGTGCATCAGTTGCAAAAGGACGTGGAAGTTTCTAATTCATGACAGAATATGAGAAACAAAGGTCTTTAATACATTGTCAGAAATGTTAACGTACTTTTCGATTACCATTCCGAAATAAAAGTGGAAAAAAAAAAAAAAAAAGTCAGATTTATTGGCTTTTAATAGGCTGACATGTCAAATAAATGTTGAACATTTCCTTTTCCCTTTCCTGTTTCAGTCTCTGGACAACCTTGGGACTGCAGAGGAGGTTCGATCCAAACGCCACTCCACCTCAGAGCTGGGAAACATCACTTACAGCGACGTACGGCGAGAAGGATGGCTGCACTACAAACAAATCCTCACGGAGAAGGGCAAGGTGGGCACGCCGGGCTAAATTAGAAAATAAATGAAGGCAGAAAAAACCCATTTAAAGACTCACATCTTATCTCATCTGTCCTTCACAGAAGGTGGGTAGCGGCATGCGTCCGTGGAAGAGAGTCTTTTCGGTGCTTCGCTCCCATTCGCTGTTCCTCTACAAGGACAAGAGGGAGGCGGTGCTTCGCGGGGCCACGATTGGAGGCGCGGCCGAGGACGAACAGCCGATCAGCATCCGAGGCTGCCTGGTGGACATCGCGTACAGTGAGACCAAACGAAAGCACGCTCTGCGGCTCACCACCCAGGACTTCTGCGAGTACCTGCTGCAGGCGGAGGACCGGGAGGACATGCTGGACTGGATCAAGGTCATCAGGGAGAACAGCAAGAGTGACAGCGAGGTCAGAGGACACAGCTTTACCTGTCAGATTCCAACCTCCTCTGATGCTGGTTTTATAACGCAGGTGTGTTTGTTTGTTGCAGGAGCTCGGCTTTTCCAGACAGGCGCTCATCAATAAGAAACTGAATGATTACAGAAAACAGAGGTGAGTCACCTGATGATAAGATTCCCTTCAGCACTGCACTCATCCGACAGTTTGAATTAAACTCGTCTCTCTGTCTCCCCCTGCAGTCCGACAGGCAGCAAACCCGACTCCTCTCCCAGGATGTCCCGCATGAAGCCTCCCTTCATGCTCGCCAAGACGGAAAATGCTGCCGGGGCGCCGCGCTCGCCCAAACCAGAGGGCAAAGGTCAGTGTCAGGGAACGAAAAACAACACTGGCAGTATTCTACTCACTGTGCAAAAGTTATTAATTTACTGGATCACAAAGTCTGCCATCCATTATCTCTTCAAGTGGAGCTCATAGTAAAAAAAATCACTACAGAGCAAAAAAGTTTAATTTCCACAGTAAAAAACTCACAAATTTACATAGTCAAGGATACCAAATTAGTTGGTCAAATTTCCTCTTCTTGTGAAGGCACTGTCAGTAAATAACTACCTCCAAAACTGGCAACTGTATGATTGTTTTGGATCAAATATCAGAAGTTTATGGTAACTATAGAGCTACAGTTACAGCTTTTATTATTTATGCCAACAAGTAACACATAGTGGACACAGGAACTTATATTAGAGCCAGGGTACAACACTAATACTATTTAACACTATTTATAATTCTTCAACCAGTTTGTTTAAAGAAAGATGCCCACATCTATTTTACCTTTAAATCTGTATGTTAAAATATAACAGTTCCACAGTTGTAGGTGGTGTATTATCTCTTTTTTAAAATCTTTCTGGGGCCGCAGATGTGAGAATACTGAACAGGCTTTTTTTGAGAGCCTTTAAAATAAATAAATAGTGTAGGCTCTGAAGTATTTTGTTTGATCTGTGTTTAGATGAGAGCGGCCCTCCGAAGTCTCCCTGGGGAATCAACATCATGAAGAAGACAAAGAAGGCCGGGCCCAAAGCCTTCGGCGTGCGGTTGGAGGATTGTCAGCCGGGCGTGAACAACAAGGTTAGCCTCGATATCTTCTCCGTTTTACCTGAACGCACTGAAACGTTTCACTCATGATTAAACTCTGTCTGGTCTGCGTCCGTCTCAGTTCATCCCGCTGATCGTGGAGATCTGCTGCGGTCTGGTGGAGGACATGGGTCTGGAGTACACCGGGATCTACAGAGTGCCCGGGAACAACGCCATGGTGTCGATGCTCCAGGATCAACTCAACAAAGGCGTCGACATCAACCCTGCAGAGGAGGTGAGGAAATACATGTGTACGCTTACTGTAGAGACTGATGCAGAGAAAACACATTTACCTGGCAGGTTTAACTTTACTCAACAACTACAGTGTGTCATTAGAGGCAGAAGGTAAAACACTGAGATCACTGACTCCTCTCTGTGTCTTCTGCTGTCAACAGAAGTGGCAGGACCTCAACGTCGTGAGCAGTTTACTCAAATCTTTCTTCAGGAAACTTCCAGAGCCGCTCTTCACCAATGGTGAGTCCAGACATGTCGGGACAAGCCATCACACAAACTCACACCGTCACACATTCCTGTCAAACCGACTCACCTTATCTTTATTTTTATATTCCTAATACCCTCGCAGACAAGTACAACGACTTCATCGACGCCAATCGGATGGAAAATGCGTCAGAAAGACTGAAGACCATGAAGAAACTGGTACGTGTTTGTTTGTATGCATGATTGGATTTCAGCAGGAACGATTACCTACTTGACTAGAGTATGTGTGTGTGTGTGTGTGTGTGTGTGTGTGTGTGTAGTAGAAGTCAGGCAAGTTCAACAGGTTTATCAGTATTGCTATTCCTCTTGTTTCACTTTCGTAGATCCGAGACCTTCCCGATCATTATTACCACACTCTGAAGTTCCTGGTCGGTCACCTGAAGACTGTAGCCGACAGCTCAGACAAAAACAAGGTGTGTTTGTAAATGTGATCGCAATATAATCACGTGTCAGTGTGATGTCCTTGGTATTAACATCCCTTTGTCTTTACCTGGTGTGTGTGTGTGTGTGTGTGGGTGTGGTGTGGCTGGTTGGGTGGGTGGTAGATGGAGCCTCGTACCTGGCTCTGGTGTTCGGGCCGACGCTGGTCCGGACGTCTGAGGACACAATGAAATGATACGGTCACAACAATGCCCGGACCGCTACAGAATAGTCGAGGCTTCATTTCTCAACATGGGTTGAGAGGACGCCACACAAACACACACATACACACATACACAGACGTACACACACACAAAAAAAGAATCCTTCTTATTCTGAATATCTCTTTGCGTTTCTTCTAGGGCCTCTGGTTTTTCGCTGATGAGCAGGACAAGGATGAAAAGGTTTGTCTCCCCAAGTGTCAGGAAGTTGATGATAGATGCATCAACGCAGAGATGGTCGCAGTAAATCACAGCCTGTTTAATGTTTTTAATGTCTGATCCGTCCAGACGCCGGTGGACACGGAGGACGTGCAGCCCGCCCCCAACATCGACCACCTGCTGTCCAACATCGGCAGGACCGCTCTGCTCGGGGAGGCCTCAGGTGAGCTGCTTACTGCCAGTGACTGCTAGCTCTGATCAAGCCGACCAATAGCATTCGGGCAGCTGTAATTGGCAACCCCCGAAAATGAATGTTGCTCTCCGTTTAAAGCTGGAAGTAGGAAATTCCCCCATTAGTGCATCATAATTACAATCTGTGTTCCAGCGAAACTGAGGGTGGAAAAAAGTAAAAGACACTTTTGATTGATGTAAAATTTTTCCAATGAGAGCATATTTCTAAGAATCCGTAACAGTGAATGACTTAAGACGAAGCTTTGATATTCCTCCACGGAAGTTTGTCCCAGTTTGAAGCCAGAATTCCCTACTTTCCAACAGAACTGGAACGCAGCATAAGAAATGAATCCTTACATTCGTTAGCACTTAGAGTGTTTCTGTGTTTGATAGCGTGCCTACACTTCTCTCCTTTCAGCTGACCTCTTTTTCCCCTCCACGTTGCTCATCTTTCACTTTCTCTGTACGTTTCCTCATTTCATTCTCTTAGCTGAGCCTGTGGAGCAGCCACTGCGGTAGGATGGGAACTCCCCTGGCAATATATGTGTGTGTGTGTGTGTGTGTGTGTGCGCAACAGAGCCAGTGCATCATATTGTGAAAGTGAAATAATGTGTGTGTGTGTGGGTGGGTGAGAGAGAGAGAGAGAGAGAGAGAGAGAGAGAGAAACTGTTAGTGGTGGTGATGGTTTGTGTCTCCATGGTCATTACCCTCCTGAAAGTCGGCGTCTCCCTCTCAGTGTCAGACGGGGGTCTCTGTAAGAACATGTCACTTCAGTGTCGCCCCAGTCGGACTAATGAATTAATGGATGACTGGTTGCTCTCTGCCTGTTAAAGCTGCTGGGGTCTGTCACTGAGAGACAACTCCCTCACTGTGTGGCCTGTCTTGTTGTCATCCCACGGGCAATTTCAGTCACTATAGTCCAATCATCGGGCTCCTAACCCCTCTTAGCTCCAAAGGGACTCTAGATGGCGCCGTTTCTCACCTCCCATTTCAAAGATGACATTAAAGTTTATCTTCATCTTGATTTATGTGTGTGAGGCTCACTGGTGGCTCAGACTTTCACTCTTCCTCCACAGTTTTGATATCACTGGTGAACTTCTAAGTAAAAGCATTAGTTTCCCAGAATGGTCCAAGCTAAGCTATCAGAGTTAGCTCACAGCTGGTGAATCTGCACACAGAGAAAATCCCTTTCACAGCCCAAAGTCCAAAGCACAGTCTGTACAGCATATGACACCCTCTGTCCTTAGACCCCTCGAATAAAGGAGTAATCCAAAAGTGGTCTTTCAAAGTAAAATACCTCAGAAATATAACAAAATAAAAGAGCAGACATGATATTTTCATGGATTGTTACCAAAAAAGGTCACTTTTCACATTTTTAATAACTTTTATAGCAGAAACTGAAGGCAAGAGTAGAAGTAGAACTGCCACTAACAACTATTTTATTAATAGTTAATAATTTTTTCATCTAGAAATATCTGCAATTAGTGAGAAATGCCCAGAGCTCTAACTGTCGTCTTCAAATTGCTTGTTTAGTCTCAAAATATCCACTTAGCAGTTATATAAAACAGAGAAAAGTAGGGAATTTCTTAGTCAGTTATCAAGAAATCCAATCAGATTGATTTCGCAAGAGATTTTTCTCTGAAAGGCTGCTTCAGTGTCGGGGAAACTTAAGTGCTTCTGCTGGAGCTTTTAAAGAGCCAACACCTGGAGGCAGCACACAAAATAAACTGGTTTTACTATCACCGTTGTTGGTACGTGAGAAACTATTCCATCTAGAGCCCCTCGAGAGGCGGGCCACCCCACCAATGCCCCCCCTCCTCAAAAGCTTTAGATTCATACGCTCTGTGAAAGACGGAAACCGACCCCCCCCCGCATCGGTGTGTGTTTGTGTTTGTGTTTCAAATTCATTTCTGCTCTTCACGCCTCCAAACGCTTCTTTCACTGATTGATGTCATCAGTGTTTTTCGGTGATGTCATCGGTGTGTGTCGTGGTTTTCCTAATGCTGTTCTTCCAAAAAACCCTGCTTCACCCAATCATTGTTTCTCCTCCACATACTCCAGTGTGTAAATATCTGTGTTTCTTTCTGTTTGTGCCGCGTCAGAGGTCGGAGGGCACAGAGGAAGTTCCTTTAAGATCCAGTGAAGGGATTTGTCTTGTAATTTTTTTTTTATGTTAATCAGAAAGAGGACATAAAACTGCTGTTCATTACAAAGAGAGCATTCAGGCATGTTGTGCTCTGGCCACGCCCCAAGTGTTGATGTCACAGCAGGTGTTTTCCCTCTTTACAGCTGATGGAAAACACCTGCAGTGACATTAAGGTTTAAAGGTCAGAGCAGTTTCCTGTGATTTATTGTGGATGTGTCCTTTTAAAGAAATGATGATCACACCAACTTTCCTCTGTGTCCTCCACCATGACTGTTCTGGCCTTTTGTTAACGTGGATGGTTCTGACCCGCTGATGTTTTTATTCTCTTCTCCCCAGACTCAACCAACAGTGACTCAGCTAAATCAAAGGTAAGCATCTCCTTACACGATGCAAGGTTGTTCTTACACCGCACAGATACCAGCAGTAGTGCAGCTTATGTGGAAAACATATGAAGCGCCGTGTATGACGTAACGTTTTGTTCTTTTTCAGGGGTCGTGGGGGTCAAAGAAAGACCTCACGCCCAAGGACTTCCTGACTCTGTCCATCATGTCAGCCGTCACGGGTCGCAAACGCAGGAAGCGCCATAACGGCCGCCGTGTGGGCAGCAGCACCGACGACGACTCGGAGCACGAGCCAATCAAAGCCGGACATCTAGGGGCGGAGGAGGAAGAGGAGGCAGAGTCGCCGGTAGGAGACACTGCCCCTCGAGCAGAGGGAGAGGAGGACGACGATGAGGAAGAAGAAGAGGAAGAAGAGGAAGTTGCAGAAAGCGGAGCGAAAGAGGAGGTAGAAGAGGAGGCGGTGGCGGTCATTCCCAGTCGGCCGTGCTGTAAAGAGGAAGAGGAGGCAGGAGGAAGGCAGGCAGCCGTGTTGTTGCAGGAGGAGGAGGCGCAGGCGGAGGTGAAGGGGCCGCGGTGGAGAGCTCCAGAGGATGCTCGCTCCATTGTTTCCGGTTACTCGACCCTCTCCACGTTAGGACGGAGCCTGGGGTCAGAGGGGAGGGGGGACGACGCCGACGACGAGCACAGCGAGCTGGTGAGCGAGACGGACAACGAGAGCGGCTTCGCCTCGCGCTCCCTCACCCAGGAGAGACCCGATAAACACCCGAAAACACCAGCGAGCACACAGCCGCCAGCAGCCCCGCGCAGCTTCCTCTACACGCACTACAAGCCCCCCGTTCTCTCCCCCACGAACCTTCTCGCCCCACCAACAGCCCTCACAAACACGCCGGACTCTGCGGACAGGAGTGAAGGAGGAGCGCGCTCCACCACGCCCTCGTCCTCCTCCTTCTCCTCCTCCTCCACCACTCATAAACTGCATTCGCGGCCTTCCTTCAACTCCCACAAGTTGATCCAGTGTGACACTCTGGCCAGGAAGAAGCTGAAGTCGGAGAAGGCCAAGGCTCGCTCCCTGGACCTGTTGGAGCTGTCCGGGGCCGCGGCTCAGGGCGATGGGGCTAGTTCTGGGCCGGACAGCGCACCCAGAGCGAGGAGGGACACCTCCAGAACCAACCCCTCCTCAGGCAGCAGCCAGGAGAGCCTGCGCCCGGCCCGGCCCAAGCCCGCCCTGCCGCCCAGCGAGGCCGCCTCCTTCACCCCGACCGGCCCAGGGGGCAGGTCTCTGGCGGAGCACGTCCGCGCTCGCCTGCTGGGCTCGGCCGACGACCTGCGCAGCGTGGGGCTGCGGAAACCGCTGTCGCCCGAGACGAGGAGGAAGAGGCGGGCCTGGCGCAGGCACACCGTGGTGGCCTCCCCGACCGAGACGTCCGACAAGAGACCCCCAATGACTGTCAATGACTTCGCCCTGTCTCCCATCACTCAAAACCAGGTCAAAACACCAGGGCTGCCTCGGGATGCAGACGGATTCGAGCAAGGACCGGCTACGCGTCAAGCACCCACCTCCAGATTCCACCAGTACCTGTGAGCCCTGTCAGCTGACCTCCACCCTTCACCCCGAGGAAAAGAGGCTGATTCTGAAGGCGGGTTGGGGGAAGGGGGTCCAGGCTGAGCTGCTGACTCCCTGCAGGTCAGTAGACCGGCAGCAGCGTGAAAAACAGGGTCGTGGTTAGTTGCCAGGTGCAACACAGTGTACCAATGAACTTTAAAGAGCAGCCCAATCCCCTTTTTTCTTTTTTTCGATAAGCTCCATTTGCATGGCAGGGGGCATTCCAGTGTTGCCAAAGCTTTTGTTGTTGTTTTATTTTTCTCTTCCTGTATGTGTGCTTTTATAGAAATAATACAGAGACACAAACAGACCTCATCACAATCAACGTTACAGCCAAGAATTCTCATTCGAGTAATAAAGTAATACTCGAATAAGACGTTAATTAGACGGGTTGAATCCCTACAAGTGAAACCGGGGGGGGGGAAAGGATCTCCCTCTGGTTCCTGAGAGACTGGTGCTTCTAATCAAAGTGGGGTTTAACTAACAGAAGAGACGCTTATAATTACACAAAGTTAATGGTCAGCTTCAATTTCAAGAGGGATCCCAACTGTTTTTATATCAGTCTTCCTAATCTGTCGCTCCTCAGACCACAGACACTGTAATACTCTCATTTATACTCCAAACAACGGATTCAGCCGGTCACAAACACATTCAATAAAACAGTCGTCTCTCTCTGTACTTGTCAATAATGTTTATGTGTATTTGCGCAACAATATTTGTGATCATGTCTGAGCGTGCAGGTGTTTGTGTTGAACAATTTTTGTAACATTTGTACAAAGCCTTTGTTAAGTTAACCTTGTAAATATAAATATTATGTTATCATATTTTGTTTTTACTTTTTTTTTAGTTCCTTTTTTTATGGTTTACAAAATTGTGCATACAAAAAAAGTGCACGGTCATTTCTTTCAAGATGTTACTTGAAAATGTTTCCCTTAATATATTCATATTTTTTTTTTGTTTTATATTCAATATATATATATTATATATATTTTGTATTAAAGTAAAAAAAAAAAGTACTTTTATTGTGATTTTCACCTCTTTTGGTGTACCTGTTCAAAAAGGAGAAGAGATAAACACGACTAAACCTGTTCCTTATTCTCTCATAGATGGCCTTTTTCTCTCTGATTCTCAGCACTGTGCAGAAAACCTTTATCTCCTCGAGGTCTTACGAATACGTTTCTCTGGTGACAATACAATTATATCGGAGGGGAAAGCTCAGCCCTGACCTCGTTTGTTTTGTTATTATTATTATTGCCTCTGATTACTGAGCGTTGCCCCCCCCCCCTTACAGATCAGATCACAACACAAAGTGCCCCCCCCTTTATAAAAAGAGAAGGATGAGAAGTGTTTCGCAGACTTGTTAGGATGCAAACAGCTACATGTTCCCAGTATGTGGTGTGTTTTCATCACATCCCCTCTGAGGGTTCATCTGTCTACACATTTAATCACCTTAAGGGAGGAGGGGGGGGGGGGCTCTAACATGACGAAGAGTTTTCCATAAGGTCAGGCTCTAATAAATCCTCCCTGACTGCTGGGAGGAATGGTACATTAAAGGAAACGATGGCCTGTATCACAAAATAACAAAAAAGAAAAAAAAGGAGGTGTCACATTTTCCTGACCAAATAACCCAGTGAACAAATAATAATAATAAATAAGTTATAATCTTGTCTTACCTCAAGAGTTTCGTTTCTACAAGTGCCTGATTTTCTGGAATGTGTTTCTGTTCTGCGGTGCCATGTCAGTTCTTACCTCTCCTCCTCCTCCGCTGTGAAACCAAGGCGCTGACCCAAACCTGTGTACATTTAAAACACAGGCGGCCTAACAGAGAGCACACGTTCAAAGCCAAGGACACGTCTGTGCACTCTTTGCCTTCAGCACAGGCGTCAACAGCGGAGGGAAGAGGCGCAGAACCCTAAACACTTACATTAGGTCGAAACAGACACTTTCCCCCCGAAAGCAGCCAGCGACTCTCCTCACTGGCACCTGTTGTCTCCACGTGTGATCTCACCCGATGTCTCACTGTTGTATTTTAAAAACTTTTGTACATACTCTCTTTAACATGTAACATATTGTATTGTGTACATTTTGGAATTTGCTTTTTTTTTTTGAGTATAACTAATATGAAAAAAATGACTGGACTTAAGAAAATAAAAGGTTGTCCACCTGAAACAGTCCCCCCCCCCTCCCCCTCCTGGCTGTGTGCTTTAAAGCAAAAGGTTATATGATGTAAATAAACAGAAACTATGTTTAAAAAACAACAACAAATGTGTTTGTTTTTCACACACACACACACACACACACACACACCTTTAGGAGCTGACTGACGCCCTCCAGAGGCCGCAGGTGAATAAGGTCTCTTGTTGCCTCTGAACGTGAAAGAAACTCACATTTTAACTCATTAACACTTTAAATTAGCTGTAAATTCTCGGGAAAAACCATTAAAATGATGTGCGAACAGAAAAATCTCTAGTTAAACACTCTTGGGATTATTTACACAATCGCTCAAAATCTAAATGTTTTCAGAAGAGGAGGAATTAACATTTAAATAAATAAAATAAACCCTCTGATTATTAATGCTGACACACAAACAGCTTCACTCTTCCGGTCTTGCAGCACTTACAACACATCACAGCAGAATTTCAACATTTTATTTGAACTTATGTTTAACACACAACTGTTAAAATGTTCACTGGTAGTTTATTTCTGCAGAAAAACAAACAGAACGACCGTCTTTTGCGAGCTGGGGGCCAAATCAGCTGTAGTTAATGTTTTCTTCTGGGGGGGGGGGGGGAA